GAGGCCGGGGCCGGGCGCGGCTCCTGCTGCCGCCCCGCGGGCGGGCGGGCGGGTGGCCGCGCGGAGGCCTGGAGCTCGCCTTCGGTGCCGGGCAGCGGCTGTCGTGCGTGGCACAGGGAGGCTCCGTGGGGACGCGGATGCTGCGGGAGCATCCTCTTTCGCAGGAGCAACGCCCCTGTCCAGGGCTTTAGTAGGAAAGAGGAGATTCACATCTCATGAGTTTTTGGTCTGTGGGATCGAGATGGCTGCCCTGGATGCGTACTGACCTGGCTCCTGTTGCTGTCCTTGCACAGGAGTGTGCACACAGTACCAGCTGGTAGAGTTTGGTGGAGATGTGCGAGCATCTGGGGACTCTGTGTCCCTGTTCTGCCAGGCATCTGGATTCAGCTTCAGCATCTATGACATACACTGGTACCGTCAGACCCTCAGAGGCATTCTTGAGTGGGTATCCTTCATCGGCAGCCAGGCTGGCACTACAAAGAAATATGGGACAGCTGTGGAAAGTCGAGCCACCGTCTCCCGGAACAACTCCCAAGCCATGGCATCTCTCTCCCTTCACCGCTTGCATCCAGGGGACTCAGCCCGCTACTTCTGCGGCATTGCACTGTGACAGGAAATCCAGCTGATGGTTAACAAAAAACCCTTACCAGGAAGACATGGACTCGAGTGCATCTGTAGGGCTACTGAGAGCTGTGGCGGCTTTGGGCTGCTTCCACGAGGTGAGGAGACATCTCTGCACACCGCAGACAGCCCTGTCCTTTCTGCAATAATTCTCTTCCTTTTACCACTCATCCTGACTGACTCTCAAAAGCAGTATTTTGAGCTGAGGAAGATGCTCAGTGTATTTCTTGTCACCAAATCAGCTTGGCCACTCTTCCTGCCTGCAGACCCTCTCTGCCTGCCCTTTGTCCCCTTCTTCCCTTTGACTCAGGCTTCAGAAACATCATTGCCTGTTTGCATTGACACTCCCATCACCAATCCAGCCCTCAGCCGTTTCCAGGAGCACAAAAAAGGAACAGCAGTGGATGAACTGCCCAGTTGTGGCTTGATGTGCATTTCAGGTTAATGGGATCCAAGCACCAAGGCCTGCCGTGTGAGGGCAAGCAAGGCACACATAGACCCTGTAATGTACTTACAGCTCCAATACTTCCTATATTTATTTATGTGGCCTGGTACCAGAAACATCTCAGCAGGCCTCTCCAGACCAAGGACTTACTCCCCTTACTCCAGAGCAAGGGCTGGGAAGTCTCCTAGAGCTCCAGCCCTGTACAGTTGCTGGCAATAAAGGGGTTACTGAGGTTCCTGCAGAGTGCCTAAGGCTCTTCCTTAGGAGACAGCCTTCAGAATATAATAAAAGAAAGGTTGAGAGAGTCTCTAGTTGTTCAAAAAACTTCTCTCCTACTCTGCTCCCAGGCACTAGCTTGCTTGGTCACTTTGTGCTAAATGCACTACAACTACCCAGGAGGCAGCAGGCAGCTTTCATGAATCTGACCAGAGGAATAGACTCAGCTCCCTGCATATTACAGCCAAATTGACTCCAAATCAAGCATGTTTATTTGAGCTCTATTCAATACTATTCAGCACCCTCAAGGGAAACTGAAGGTCTGTGGGTCTGAAGACCAAACAATGTTGTTGCTAAACCAAGGAGACAGCCATCCATGGTATCAGCCACCTTTCTAGTCAAGAAGAAACAATGGAATCAGAAGTCACCTCATTTAGGTAAGGGACTGGCTTCTCTGATGCTGGGAAAAGGCCCAGTGCCTGGGATCTCTTTCCCCTTAGCAACTGGAAAAATGGGCACTAGTCCTCAGCCTCTGGAGGTGATTCCTGCCAAATGTGAAGGAAAGGTAACCCTTCAAGGAGAATACTGTAAATTACCAAAGCAAGTAATTGCCATGGAGGGAGGTATTCAGTAGCTGAGAGAATTAGCCATGCTGGATGATGTGGAAGGATGCAAAGATCTAGTGTGTACTTCAATGAGATTTAACCTTAGGTGAAGCTAATCTATAATTAGAGTTATATGTTGTAGGAAAGCACTGCAGAAGACACTAACTGGATCAAGAAAGAGTGAACTTGGCAAGGAACCTGGTAAGTTGAGTGTAGCAGTGACTTGGACAAAGCTGGTGCGGGCCTCCGGGAATTCAACATGCTGCTTCTCATGTCCCAAGTGACCACTTTGACAGCTGAGGTCTAAATCATCTACTGTTCTTATGGATGTCTTGGGAAGTGGGAGAAGCCCTTAGTACAGGAAGGCAGTATCTGTTAAGAGACAGGGAATAGTGGTTAATGAGAATATACAGATTTATATATTGGATAGAAAGATGATCAGGGGATATGTATATTTATTTGTGTGGAACCTGGTCATCATGCAAATGGTATGGAATAAAGGGTAGAGATTGTACTGGGTCTGAGTAGGATGGAATTAACTTTTTCTATGCCATACTTTGCCCTTTGTCATGGAGTTGACTAGATCAATCTATGTCCATGACAGGGGCAACAGGCCCCCGCCCTCCCCTCCCACCCCAGTCCCACAAAAATGGGAAGGAAGGAAGGGAGGAAAAGAACAGAGGCAACGATCTATGGAGGAAAACTTATTTTACTATAATATCGGAATACAAGATAACACAATATATGCAATTTAATTGAAATTGGGATTAATAAATCAGACAAGATGAGAGAGAGAGTTCCCAGGACCGAGTCAAACCTGAAAAGCTTGGAACGACTAGGAAAGCACCTCCAGCACCCACTGCAAGGCATCAAGAGAGTGCCCCCCCCACCCGGAAGGGCCAGATCCCGTGACTGCTGTAATGTACAGGGATAGGAACCTGGGATTGGGGCAGTGACACTTTAATACCCTGTATACTACATGATGTTTTGATGTGGAATACTGAAACCCCAAAACAAAAAAACATAGAACCATGACACCCTTGGATTGTGAATGGTGTTGGTATCTCATCAGTGTTTTGGCTCTTGTTGAGCAATGCGGGCACATCACCAAGGCTTTGTCTCCTGCTCCCCTGCCAAAGATCAGTAGGTTGAGAGTGTGTCTCGCTCCAATTTATAGGAGGGAGAGGAGGTTCTTTTATTATCTATATACCTGGCGTGAGATTAAGAAGCAACGGTTCAAATGCTGGTCCGACCAGTTTATTACAAATCTTAATCAGGGAAATGCGGAAGGGGAGGGCGGACACTATTATGAATTAGGGTAATGGGGAAGGGAAGGAGGGCGATAGAAAAGATAGAAGAGAAGAAGCAAGGGGTCTTTATAGGCAGCAAGAGGGAGATAGTCACCACCATGGATCCAGCGTGGACCGTAGTTCAGTCTTTGATCTTCAGTAGCGGTGGGTCATCAGGCAGAGTTGTCCTGTTGACAACGACGACGGTGAGAAGGACGATGAGAGACAACCATGGTGATGATGGCCCCTTTTCAATGGTTTCAAAGTGGTGAAGTCAGCTATCTTTGGAGTGACAGCTCAAATCCAAAGTGGTCGAGTCAGCTCTCCTTTGAGTGGCAGCTTCTGGCTCTGGGGCCTCAGCAGGAAACTCCTTTGTTCTTATCTTCCTGGCCTTGCCAGCAGATAAGAGGAAGCAGGGAGGCACCAACTTGCATCTTGCCTTCGCAGGATACAATGGTATCATCCCCCAGCCTCCCATAGCAAACAGGAGTTATTTGGTCACAGGCTAGTTCTTCCGCCAGTAAACAGTCCTGAGCACTATCTTCCGAAGGCAAACAGCTCCAAAGATGTAAAATTGTCCACACAGCAATGTTGATTGCCACACAGCATCCATCACTTGCCTCCTCAACAAAATACCTCAGGAAACAAGATTTGAGCCAAAAAAAAGCAAAGAAGGATTCTCACAGAGTGGAGAGGAGGTGGGATAGAGCTCAGACACCTGACCTAAACAGACTAAAGAGATATTCCATACCATATGACATCATGCTCATCAATAAAAGCTGGAGTAATACTGGAGACACTTGTTACAAAGGCATTTGTCTCCCAGACCAATCACTATGTGCATATAGGCCCTGCTTTCCAGGAAGTGGCTGAACACTGCTTGCTGTTGGAAGTAGAGATTTTTTTTTTCTCCTTTTTCTTCCTTGTATGGCCTGTGCTTTTCTTTTGCTAAACCAATTCTCTCTTAAGTTTTCCTCCACTTCATTGTCTTACCCCCTACAGCCCCGCTCATTGTCCTGCTGTGGAAGAGGAGTGAGACACAGAGCAAGAAGCTTTGCAGCGCTTAGCTGCCTCCTGGTGTTATACCACAACACTTGAGAGAACCATGCTGTCATGGTGACCCTTCAGCCTGACAGTAACCAGATTCTTAAAAGGAAAATAGAGAAAACACAAGAGAGTCACGTCTGCCCAGAACATCCTGGTCAAGCCCAACCCTCTGATTGAGGTCAGTGTCACTGACATTGGCACCAGAGGGGTTCATACTGGAACCAAAGTCAGGGAAGGGACAGGGATAGCTGTCAATGAAGGACCAAAGCTCACACACACCCTTTCCTGTGCTCTACACCACTCAGTACCGGGGTGGCTCATCAGTGGCTTGGAGCAGCTGCACATGGCTGCGAGCTTTCTTCTTCCCATTTCTCACACCAACCCTTACTCCTCACATTCCTGAACTACTTCAGCTTTGGAAACAAGTTTCCATCATTTCCCACTAGGATGGACACCCTATAATGGCCCACCTGATGAGCCCTGATTTGTTTTTTGGGCATGGTTCAGTTCAGTTCAGTCCACGAGTTTTGTTCTCTGAGGGAAGAATGGGAAAAGAGGAAAGTACAAAGGGTCACCTGGGAGCTCAGTGGGAGAAAGGAGATGTCTGAAGACCCTCAGAGAAGATGAATTAGGAAAGACAAAATCTTTTTTACATCCGAAATGAGGCATCTTTCACCTTTTTTTTTTTTTTTTTCTTTAATGGTGGTAGATTTAACAAACCTATATTGGAGTAAGGCTGAGTTTATTGTATATCTCCTTTGCTCTTTCCCCAGTAACATGAATATCTGTGCATTTGCCTTAGTGCTTCGTCCTGTGGTCGTATTTTGGTTGTTTGGTTGGTGTTGTTTGTGTGCTTCTCTCACAGATTCGAGACTATAAAGGGAGCAAGAACTTCAGAGACACGCATTTGTAGCACCACAAGTAGAAGTCTGGGAAAGCAGTATAGTAAATAAAGTAATTGCTAGAGCTCTCACTGCCTGTTCATCTTTAGCTCCTGAGGCTGCAGATGCCCCTTGTCAGTTGCAGGCAGAGGCTTCTGGGCCCATGGTTGGGAAGGTCACAGATTCTCTCATGCTTACCTGCCACATCTCTGCTGTACCTACTGCTGACAGCAGCTATGCTTGGGAATGGATCAGGCAGATCCTCCTCCTGTCAGAGACCTGCAGAATCCAGTCCTACTGCAGCGTTTCATGTTATTCCAGCACTTTGCATCATTCCTCTAGACCTGTTTCGCCAGCTCTGCAAACGCATCTAGGAACCAACTCTACCTGGAAGTGCTTTCACCCACAGCTGCAGACACAGCCGCCTATTTCTGCAGCAGAGAGCTGGAAAAGGATGCAGGGTTTGAATCACAGGCAGGACAACAAAGGAAGGTGGTGGGGATAAAGTGCCATGTTTCCTTCTGACTCAGACTGTGACTGCTCTATACAGAACCACAACACTTGAATTTTCTCTCTTTCTGATTGGTCAAGAGACTGACTTGCAGCTAACTGGTGACTAGAGACAAAACTGTAACAATCTTGTCAATTCCTCAGAACCAAAACTGTCCTGTAACATTCTTGTGAAAGGTGAAAACAAACACGAGTGCAATGGAGAAGCTGGAGTTAGTCGCCTTGCTTAAGAAGGTCTTGGGTCCTCCCCCTGAACCACAGCCCTTCACGATCACCACGCAAAGGGAGAAGCATGGCAGTATGGATGCACACGGCGTGTGACACCACTCTCCATCTGGCAGGAGCTCCTGGCCCAATTGACGGGGACTGTCATACGGCATCAAAGGCACTCCCAACCCCATAGCCAAAAGTACATCCCCAGAAAGAGATCAAGGGGAAAGGACCTTCAAGATATTGTGAGATCTGCAGTAGTGACTCCTTTCCCTTTCCCTTTCCCTTTCCCTTTCCCTTTCCCTTTCCCTTTCCCTTTCCCTTTCCCTTTCCCTTTCCCTTTCCCTTCCCTT